ACATTTACCTGCTTCTGTACACATAATGTTAAACAAGCTGCCGCAAGATGGATGGTCAAATTAAAAAAAAAGGCGACAAGGACAGAATAAAAAAGAGAGAGCCACACAGATGAAGTGAAACGCTAAAAATATCAGTCCCAGTCTGGGACCAAATGAACAGTCCATCCGTATACTTTCACTGCTCATGTTCAGTTTGAGTGGAAGTGTAACACTTTTACGCATTTGACTGATATAATCACGCTTTTTGGAAAGTAAAATAGTAATTTAGCTGATTTTCCATAACACTAAACAGAATTTTTCTGTTACTTTTAAATATATGAAATAGGGCTGTCAACGCCATCATCACGATTAACGCGATTAAGAGTTTTAACGGAATTAACCCATCTGGAGCACAGAATGACTCAGAATCCCTGAAATGCCTCTGTCAGCGCATTTCGGGCAGTTTGTCCAAAGTTTGTGCATTCTGCTCTCCAGATGGGTTGGTTGAATTAAAAACTAAAAAAACATCTATTCTACATAGAGCTATACTTATTCACAAATCATTTTGTCACCTTTATTGGTAATATATAAAATTACATTTCAATTCAATTTTAGTTTTATCACCAAATCACAACAACAGCTGCTTTATACTGTAAGGTAACAACCCTACATTACAGTGGCCCATGTTTAGTTACTGCCTTCTCAGGATGCGCAGCTGATGTCATTCATTCACAGATAGCAAAAATTGTGTGAACCTTCTCTTGTTTGTTAAGATAGTCATTTAGCATGTAGATTTATTATATAAACAAGATTTTTAAGTAAAGATAAACATAACACAATCAACATTGAAAATATTGTAATTAGAAATCCAGTTAATGGTTTTATGACAGTATTTCGATCATTTTTATGGGCAGTTAACCAATTTATTATATTTAATAATTAAATAAATAAATAAATAATTTTCACATAAAATCCCACATTAAACCCAAGTAATAACAGTGGTTTGCTGCAGATTTAAGCTAATTAATTGTATTCTAGTATTTGATCATTTTAGGGTAAATGCCCTTTATTTAACATGAAAAAGCACAAGATTGCATCTAAAGCTAGAGGAATGTATTTTGATTTACTGTGTAGTAAAAATAGAGATGTTTTCCATTTTTAAATTATGGAAAATGACTGAATTTAAAATGACAGTAAATTTCTGTTATTTTATGCTGTTTTACTGGCATCCTCACTGCTGGAATATTACTTTTTTTGTTTTTTTGTTTTTTTATCCATCCTTTCTACTGTCTATGATTAGCCTGAAGATACCTTAAGATTAGTTAAAAAAAAACAAAAAAAAAAAACAACAACAACAGCTTTGGCATTGTAATGTGGATAACTTTCATCTTAGATTGCCTGCAGGTTCAAAATCACTGAATCTCCAACCCACATCCACTGCCACTGTACTTAAGAGAAGGAAAGTTAAAGACTTTCTTCTGCACTTACATTTGGATCAGTTAAATCCATGACAGTTATTCAGGCAGTAATGCATGGAAACAAGCCACCCTTAAAATATTAGAAGATACCAAGCTTCTGTGTTTGAATGCAAAACAATAGATACTGTGCTTGTGGCTAAACAATAAATACATTTTATTTTGATTATCCAGTATGTTGGCTGATATACTTTTTTGCATTTGAAAATAAAAGTTGAGATGATTTTAACACCATTACAGGAAGCGTTGTTAATTATTCTTTTTGAATCATACTTGCATACAGTGTTATATTAACGTAAGTGTTGTACTAGAAATTTCAAAGATGATAAAACATAATGTGTTTTTTTTTTTTTTTAAGTTACAACATGTTTATTTTTTAATTTTGTAGAACTTGAAATGTTTGTCAGTGGATAAACAATTATTATTGCACAGTCAGAAACATAAAGTTATTCTTAGTACTGTATACTTGCGATTAATAAGTTGTCCAAACAGTCATCTTAAGAAAGCTTTACTTAATTTTTTGAGGCAACGAGTTTGCATAGTTTTTTTGAGTTCTGGGAACTTATAAGATTTTACAGTGTATTGGACAAATTTCAGAGTTTTGGTGTTGCTAAATCCTTTCTTTTATCTTTACATATTTTCAATCTTTGTTTAATTATTCCTTCTTTGTATCTTTTGTGCAGTTATAGTTTCCACCATCTCTCCACTTTCTTTTATTTTGTTTGTCAAGAAAGCAGAGAACTCATTGATAACACTGCTGTTTTTTAATTACAATTTTATGTTAAATATCAAAATAACACCATTAAAGCTAATTCCTTGGGCCAGTATTACAACACAAATCAACACGTTGACTTAAACTAGCAGTCTGTTGGGTTGTTGGCTGGGGATAACTGAAGCAAAACAAACAAACAAAAAAAAAAAAAACAGGAGCAGTGGAAATGTAACATTAACAAATGTCTGGATAAAAAATCCAGCAGTTTCCCACCACCCAGCCAACTGCCCAATATACCAATCACCCAGAGAGAAGACATGACGGAGTTTGTCAGTGGATGTAAGGCACTTTGATATTTTAAGGCAAGCCCTGTTCTTGGGAAATACTCTAGGCTTTAAAATGACTGACCTATCACTGCCCTCATGAACCCCTCAACAAATACAAATGGAAAACTGCAGCTAGGAGTACACCGGAGAAATGGTGCAGGATTCAACCCAGTCATGTGTTTCAGGCATAAACCAAACTGCTTTTGACAGAAGCAACACATTGGTTTTTCGCACACTCCTTTGCTGAAAACTGCTGCTTAATTTGCAGCAAACTTGTTTTTTTAATGGAGAGTATGTCATCATCTCTTTTTGCCCTGAAACTCATACCATCTGCTGCATCACAAATGTGAAAGAGAAGCACAGGCAAAACAGACCTGGGAGGATGTTTGGGGTTTTGTGTGTGTGTGTGTGTGTGTGTGTGTGTGTGTGTGTGTGTGTGTGTGTGTGTGTGTGTGTGTGTGTGTGTGTGTGTGTGTGTGTGTGTGTGTGTGTGCACATTATTTTGTGTTTGTGAAGTGTTTTGAAGTAAGCAGATGTTCCACAGACAACAGAAATTATGCCCCAGTATAAATACTTGGTACCTTTGACTATGGTGATTAATGATGTCTAAAGTTATGCAGGAATGAATCTGCAAATTGTGACCTGGCAGCCTGATGATAAGAAAAGGGCGATCGTGGCTCAAAGAGTTGGCAGTTCGTCTTGTAATTGGAAGATTGCCGGTTCGAGCCCCGGCTCGGACAGTCTCAGTCATTGTGTCCTTGGGCAAGATACTTGACCTGCTGGTGTTGGCCAGAGGGGCCGATGGCGCGATATGGCAGCCTCGGTTCTGTCAGTTTGCTCCAGGGCAGCTGTGGCTACAACTGTAGCTTGCCTCCACCAGTGTGTGAATGAATAGTGGTATTGTAAAGCGCTATATAAATGCAATCCATTATTATTAAAATGAATCCCATCAAAGCTTTGTCTTTTACAAAGAGCAAACAAACAAACAAAAACAACTGTTGAATAATGAAAACTAAAATACATTATTACCATGGACCGTATATAAAAGATGAATATAGCCACTGTGACATCACCTGTTAAATTTCAAGCTGAGCATTGTCTTGGTGTTTTGAAACTAGGCAAAGGGTAACTATAAGTGAGAACCTGAGACATACTGTACTGTTATAGGGTAATGACTTGTCAGTTACAAGTTACTGAAAGTTCTATCATATCCTGCTTGTCCTCCTTTGTGATTCCATTGCAATGCACTGGAATCAATGTACAAAATGGGGAAAAAATATTTTAAATAAGATTTTAACTAACAACTGAGAACAAAGACCTATCAGAGAAGTGTTTTCTGAAGTAGTGTTTGTGACTTTTTCCCATAGACCTCTTTTCCACCAGATTCTTTTGTAACCAGGCATATCACCCTCTTCTGACCATTAGAAGAAATACAGGTTTAAGGGATTAACTTTTCTAAAGTCTTTTTAGACTGTCTGCAGATGGAAGTTTCATCTATCTATAGACAGCGTGTAATTATTACATGGGAATTTGTAATGTATGTATAGCTAAACTACCTTGATCAGTGTTATTACATGGATAGTTACTTAGATTACCAAATGATCTTTTTGTACATTCTGTCGCAGAAGGCCTCTCAGTTGTATAGAAGAGACTGTTGCATAGGAGAACAAATAAAATACTGACTAACATTGCCTCCAGGTGGAGCTGGCAGGCAGCAGATCTCTGAAGCAGCTGCTGACCTCCTTCAACAGGGACCATTTTTTCTTTCACATTTTCACACATCCTGCAAGGCAAGTGAAAACTCCATCAGCCACAACTTTATACAACCACAGACCAAGTTACTGGCTATTTGTTATTGTAGTATTTTGGTCTTTAATTGTTTTACTAATGTGCATGTGCGTGCGTGTGTGTGTGTGTGTGTGTGTGTGTGTGTGTGTGTGTGTGTGTGTGTGTGTGTGTACGGGTTACTATCTTGGTGAGGACCAAATTCTGAAACTGATTTATACTGGTGGGAACCAACAGCCCTAGTGGGGACCAAACTCCAGGTCCCCACGGGTTTAAAAGCATTTTCCATACTGAAAATGTGGTTTTAGGGTTACAGTTGGGTTATGGTTAGGGTAAGGGTTGGGATTAGGCAATCATTTTCGATGGTTAGGGTTAGGGTAAGTGGCTAGGGAAAGCATTATGTCAATGGGATGTCCCCATGAGGATAGCAAAAGAGACACGTGAGTGTTCACATTTGTTTTTGGTTTTTTTTATCTCATGGGTTTCACCAAGATCAATAAACATTTTTGTAAATATTATTTTAACACTGGTGTGTTAAAATAATAGAAGAAGAAAATAAGAAGAAGGTCAATGTAATACTTCGCAGTCCTTGGAATTATTTTTGGAATTATTTTTGTGTAGGGTAGGAGTGACGGGGGTGGTAGCCAAGAAACCACATTTCCCACAAGGCCATGCGCTAGAAATACGGAAATGGATCAGGTAAGTATCTCTTCCTAAAGTGAAAGCCATTCACCTGTAATAAACGTTGCGTTTACTGGTGACGTAATCGCCTACGTCCGAATTGTCTTCTTAGGCACGAGTTATTTGCTAACTGAACTACACAACTAAATGTTTCTTCAACGCGTCAAGTTTCGAACTCTCTGCGCATGCTAATGGGGATACGTAACTTCTTACACAAGACTTCATTTGGAAAATATGCTATTTAATGTCGCCTCGCTTAAAGAGAACAGACAAGACGTACTGTCGCATAAATACGACTTTTCACGAATGTGGTAAAGATACTCGTTAATTCGGGATACACAAAAACGTGTTGGCGGACAAGCAGGAATCTATTGTACGAGGTAAATAAGGAACTGAAAGGTGAAAATTTGAAGGAAAAACTAGGCCTTTGAACTGTACATTTACAAGGCTTCCGGTGGCCTTTTTTAGCGTCCACTTGTCGTACTCAGGGGCAAGGGTCTCTACATAATAATACAGAGCTACTCCTATGATGAAACATTTGTACCTGAGCATATAGCAGGGCTCCCACGCACAGGGCAGGAGGGGTCGCTGAATGCCTGAAGAAAATTAAGACTTGCAGTAAGTTGTAGAACCAACCACAATCCTAAGGTCCTTCGATACTGCTTTATGTTGTTTTTTTCCTCTTAATTTGTCACCTGCTTATCCTCTTTTCATTTTGTGTCCCCAGAAAACGGCTACCTGTCTCCATTGGCATTTTATGACACTTAATACCTCCAAAAAATTACTTTTACTCCATAAATTCACCATTATCTTCTTTCTTTATGACATGACACTGACTTTTTTGTGCGTGTCACACTCGTCTCTATCTGATCTGTCTCTAACCGCCTTGTTCAAACAGGTGGCAGATGCAGCAGTGTGGCCCTTCATCTCCCAGCTGCTCCACCTCTGACTGCTTCCCCCTCGGTACCCTCAATACAGCTGCATGTGGAAGTGAGACTTCGGCTGAACCGCAGAAACGCGAAGTGAGTGACATTCAGAAATTGACAGGGGGAAGTCATGAGACAGTTAAATAACTCCTACATGATGTTCACGGCTGTAGAGTAGGAAGTGTTGTCAGTGTCACTGCAGCTGTGGATCAGGTAAGGCTTGCCGCACTGAAGCGTGTTTCTGAAGACTACTAGGTAGCCGACTTAGAGCTTTGTGTTTCTGAAATCAAAGTCGTTTAGCAGTCGTGTAAATGGTGATTACTCAAAAGTAGCCCAGGTTTAATATTGTCTTTTTGATCTTTAAATAATCAAGAAAGATCAAAAAGTCAAGTCAAAGCTCAAAAGAAGATCAAAAAGACAAATTTATGTCTTCAAATAACCAAATTAGAGCTAACTGGGCAGTACCTGAATGCAGAAACAGTTCTCTGCCCTTCCATCTCTCGTCTTCTCATTGAGTTCTTTTTGTAATTTAGCCTGCAGGTCTCTTCAGGATGAGACCCATCGTGATCTTCTATGGATTCTACCTGCTGTGCTTTGGCCTGGGTGTGGCCTGCGTGGTGTGCGTGTGCCTGTGGAACAGCAAGTGGCGCGGCGGTTTTGCTTGGGACGGCTCGTCGCTTCAGTTCAACTGGCACCCCGTCCTGATGGTGACGGGTCTGGTGGTGGTGTATGGCAACGGTGGGTGGCCTTCCAAATAAAGCTCATGAGTTTCATTTCTGTTTCTCAGTTCTCTTCCTCCTCCAAGCAGTCAGGCTGTATCAGGGTAATTACACATCCTAGGCTTGGTATAGATGTAGTGTATAATTTTAGGCATGATTTCAGTAGCGAGGTAACATGAGGTAACGTCTGCAGTGACTGTTTGGCCACAGCTCCATTACACTGCTGCAGTAAACAGTAGTACTTTTTTTTTTTGTCAGTTGTTACTTGGATGTAATACGCTATATTATAATGGCTTTGGGTAAGAAGCAATTTCAATATTTTTTTTTCTTTTGATAACCTGAAAAAAATATTTAATTATATTAACATTATCAACAACAACAAAAAAACTTCTCACCCATTACAAATGGGAATTTCCCAAACAGCACTGAAATAATGAAGCCACTGTGGAAGTTCCTGAAATTTCACTTCTTTTGTGGGTACCTTTGTGTTTTCTTTGCGTTTTTTTTTTTTTCTTTATTCACAAGGTATTGCCACATCACATTTGATTTGGCACTAATTTCACACTGAATGTCTTTCCTGATGCAACCCTACCAAGGATTTGAATCTCTTCCCTGATATTTTAGGCAAATGTGTTAACCAGTAAACTATGGAGCCTGTGGGATTTAAGCACACCCAGCCATTTTAAGTATAAGGACTTTCTTGTTTTTCCTGTTGTAGTCTGTGGCCATTTGTCTTATAGCTGTTTCACTTATCACATGTCTGTTTAACAAAAATAAAAAACTGTTACAGGACAGGTTTGTCAAGTTCTGAGGGCCATAAAAGTCACCAAAGCTCTGCTTAGTCAGTAACTGAGGAGTTCCAAACCTCCTCTGGCAGGTTCCTGCCTTTTTTTAAATGTAAAGAACAAAATTCAGAGAGACTTATTAGCTTCTGGGAACCTGGCAAGAAGGTCATCAAATCAAAGTTGTGACAATGAAATTAAAAAAGAGGTTTAACAGTGTAGGGAAAGCAGAAGTGACAAAAACAATAGTCATGAATCCTCGGTTAAGAGCTGTGGTAATGTGGTTGGCATCACTTTCACCTCGTGAGCGTAAGTTGCACTCATGACACGTGGCGTGCTTAACTATCACTTAATGCAGGTAAGCTTGGTTGCTATATCCACAGCATGTACAGGTGAATCACACAGGACACCTGCTAATTAGTGACCGAGCAATAATAATGTAGAATTTATAAAATGTAGAATTTTACTGTCCACATCAGAGAAATTCTACTGGAGTCAACTGGAGCCTGTGGGGATTGACTCACTTTTGGAGGCAGCCTTAAGTGGGTTTTTTTCGTTTTGTGACCAGGTCTTTAAAGCTTTGGTATAAGGAACCCAAGTTTTGCACCAAGACAGAATATGACACCGATCACTTCCTGAACCTCCCCTGTGTTGATGCATCTGGTGCACTAGCTGTTATTAAACAACAGCACAGTTTAATCTGGCCACCACATTTAATTAAGCAGACCATCTTCAGTTGTTTTGCCTCTTCACTGCAGGAGCTGTGTTGTACCGCATCCCTCTGACCTGGGGTCAGAATAAACTCCCGTGGAAGCTCCTTCATGCGGCACTGATGCTCCTCGCCCTGGTGCTGTCGATCGTGGGGCTCTGTGCTGTGTTTGACTTCCACAACGCCCAAAAGACACCCAACCTCTACTCCATACACAGCTGGATCGGAATCGCAGCAACAGCTCTTTTCGCAATGCAGGTACCCAACTTGACATGAGTTGTTTTATGTTTTTGGCAAATGCCATACATTTGTACAGCAATTTGTTTCCTGCTGTGCCTGTGTGTCTGTGATTTATCTGTCTGTGTGGATGCAGTGGGTGGCGGGTATGGCGGGTTTCCTCCTTCCCTGCTCCCCCGTATCTTTACGTAAACGCCTGAAACCCATGCATGTGTGGTTGGGAGGTAGCATACTGACGCTCAGCATTGCTGCCTGCATCTCTGGCATCAACGAGAAACTCTTCTTTGTTCTGTGAGTGCAACTTTTCTGCATTTCTTTTGATTAATTCTGTTAAGGGGAAAAAAATGTAATCTTTTCCCCTTTTAAATGTCTTTCCGCAGGAAAGGAATCAATATGACTCAGCCATACTCTGCCCTTCCACCTGAGGCTTTGTTGGGAAATTCATTAGGGGTTTTGATCGTAGCCTTTGGCCTGGTTGTCCTCAAGATTCTGTCCACCCGAGAATGGCAGAGACCAGACTCCAGGCCTGAGGATATGGCCTACACGGTGAGAATATCAGTGTGGCTGACACGTAGTGGCGGAGATAAGGGAATTTAATTTAATAAAGCATTCTCATTAAAAAAATCTATATCTGCTTCATTTCACAGCCTTTGCTTCAAGAAGAAAATGAATGAAGGGGAACTTCAGAGCTGGTCCCTGAATTACTGCAAAATCAGTTCAGCTGTCACAAGTGGCCAAAACATCTCTGTCCTGAGTGTTGAAGCAGCTGCCTGTAGTGTGTGAGCACTATCTGTTGGTTTTTAGTTGTAAATATTTATTCAAAATTATATTTAAGATTGCCTTTCTGCCCAAAGAATAAAAAGTATTTGTCATCAAAGCTGTGACACCTTCCTCTTTTACACTGCTTTTGTAGTTCACCACTGCTTTTCCATCCTGTAGTAAAGCGGTCACTAGTTCAGGGTATTGAAGGCTGTGGTAATGTAGTGTAACTGGTGACTGGATTCAGTTGCTGTTGTGCACTGATGGGGATCCTGAATCCACCATTGACCTGTTTTATTTAATATTAAGTTGGTTGTAATTAATGTACTATATACCTACTATACACGTGTGAAGCATCAAGGTTATGCAAAACAATATTGGCACTAAAAATGTAATTTAAAAAAATTGAATTTGATTCTTCTTCTAGTTTGTTCTATGAATCTGGAGGTCATGTATTTTTTTGAGTTACCTTGATTCAGACTAAAATATTTCTACAACTATTGAATGGATTTACATGAAATATCACATATATTCATAGTTCCTGGACGATGTTGATAACAACCTTGATGATCTCCATGTGTCCTCTAGCAACAATTTTAGTGACAGCCATAGTGTCATGCTAATGCAGCCACATGAGGGTAGGGCATACCCTATGTGAGATTTTCCAGTGGCTCTATGGCTTTTTTCATGTTTTTGTGATAGTTGTGTATGTTTTGTAGGGAAAAGATACCAGAGAAATTTTTGTTTGCTGATGAATACGTGGAGATTAGAAGTGAATCTTCCCTCAATGGTGCTTTACTAATGTCAACAACAGAATCGCCCATTTAAATGTTTTATTTTCTCCCATGCCAATGGTAGCGACATGCTTTTGTTCTAGATTAGATTTTCATTTGTGCTGTGAGGTGCAAAACCTCTCAGCAATTTTGAAGATCATGTTTTCATTCCTCATCGTTCTATTTTATATATGTGGAACAAACAGCTGCAGAGAAATATCTAAATGATTTAAAGTCCACACGAATGGATCTGACAAAATGCCTTCAGATTTGGGGCCATCTGCTTAATGGATTTCAATAGAAACCATGGAAACTGCTACAGTCTTCCCCAAAACCATAATGAAGGTAAACAATCTGTCTGTCTCTCATACCCTGTGGTTTCTACAGAAACTGTTTTTGATTTAGTTCACACTTTTGGTTTAACATTAAGGTTCCACAAGGTTTATCGTGTGTGTGTGTTTACTCCCATGCAAACACTAAAGCAGAGATAGAGCTTATATAGTTTTTCAGACTCGCTGTATGCTATTGTTCCCATAAATTATAGAGTACAATGCAATGTGGTCCAAAGCCAACATATAAGTTAACAGAGCGTAAACACAAACGAGGGCCAGAGTTTGCTTTCCCAGTTCTTCTTTGCTCATCAAAGGTATTCTGTATTTACAGAAGTAGAGAGAAACCCAAAGGAAGTTGCTTTAACTGCCTACATAACAGAAGGATTTAGGTGAGGTGGCACAATCATAAGATTAGCAACCAGAAGAGAACAGAGACTCTCACGCCCTTCCACGAAGTCACGTTACAAGGCAAATGTCTTCATTTTGTCACAGTCTCCCACCATTTGTTTGATACTTTGATTTTGCATCCAGCCACAGAGACCAGCATGTTTACCCACAGTCTCATGGTAAAATTTCAGACATTGACATTACTGAAGTCTACCCTGGATGTTAAAAACAATGCTAAAGGGCTAGAAATGTGGCGATCGTGGCTCAAGAGTTAGGAGTTCACCTTGTAATTGGAGCCCCGGCTCGGACAGTCTCGGTCGTTGTGTCCTTGGGCAAGACACTTCACCTACCGCCTCCTGTTGTTGGCCAGAAGGGCCGATGGCACGATATGGCAGCCTCGCTTCTGTCAGTCTGCCCCAGGGCAGCTGTGGCTACAACTTTAGCTTGCCTCCACCAGTGTGTGAATGTGTGTGTGAATGGGTGGATGACTGGGTGTGTAAAGCGCTTTGGGGTCCCTAGGGGGGACTAGTAAAAGCGCTATACAAATACAGGCCATTTACCAAATGTAATGCCTGTGTGTCCTGACCTAGCATTGTATGTGACAAGTTGAAAACATTTTAACAAATAACTTTTTAGGCGTTTAAAAAAAAAACTCCAGTCTACACACCTAACACTTGCCTTGGGTCATTAGGTCACACCCCACATGACATTAGCAAGTCACACTTAATGCTATCACTATGTGGAGAAGGGCCAGACAGCAGGAAGGTGACAGGCCAGAGAAGCCTGAGCAGGGGCAAAATGACACCAAAGTCCATTATGGATAAGAAGTATTGTGTAATCTAATGCTCTCAAGATGTGGAATTTGGTTTCTCAACTGCCAGAAAGGCTGTTGAAGGGACTCCCATGCTCTCGGCAGCCTGAGGTAGCCTGGTTGTATTCTGTTTACGACAGTACTCACTTTTCCAGAGGGCTTCATCCTTTTCCTCCTTATCAGCGACATCAAGATGATTTGTTACCTTGATAGAATGCCTAATCTTCAAGAATCTGTCTCCACTTATTAAATTTTCTATACCTAGCAAACAATAGATTTGGAGCCTAGGTTATTAGAGTCATGCTGAGAGCAAAGATGTTCACAGCATGAATTCAGAAATGAAACCCTGCCCTCTGGTTCGTGCAGTCTAAATCTGGTTGCCTGTTTTCTGTGTGATGTAATCAGACGACCCCCTGTTTAGTGGCTGTGGGGATGACTCTCCTATTCTCATGTTTGATACAACGTAAATGAAATATTTCAGCTCAATTTCAGTTTGGTTAAAACTGAGTTGATAAAGACAGTTCTAGCAATAGAATCAAAACAGCTGCAAAAAAGTATCACTTAACTGCTCTTGTGGTCATAAAATGTAGAAGCTGCAATCAAAAAGAAAGGTTGTGTGCTCTGCTTGCCCATCCCTAACAATTGTTGAATCAATAGAAAGGCCAGGATGTTACCCTTGGACACATATAGATTGCATAAATGCTGTGTGATGTCAAGGTCTCAGGCTCATGTCCCCGACAGAGAGCAAAAATTAATTGCTGGTCATCAGATATCATATGTTCACCTTGACAAAATTTGTGAAAGGCAAGGATTATCACGAGCTCCATGACAACTCACAAACACAAAAACGAAAGAAGAGGAAATGCAGTTCATGTCACACTGATCAGGATCAGTTACTGCCTGATGTGCCAGTCTACTCTAATGCATCAGCGGCTGAGAGTGAAAGCAGTGGAACACATGATCATCAAGTGACACATCTTACACTGAAAGCTACAAATGGCAGGAAACCTGAATTATCAAAGGCATGGCAAGTGCTAGACATGTCACACGAGTAAGACAAAGCTTAGAGTCCCTTGTCTTTCATCTGAAAGAAGTCTTATGAGTTAAGAGACTTCAGGACATTTCACATAGAGGTTTTTTCCCTCTGTTTGCTGTCAAAGCAGCACTGCAGAGTCACTAATGAGCACTCTGGTTTATGTTGTGTGAAAAGAATCCTGGAAACAGACGGTGATCAGGTTCTTCTTTAGGACTAATACTTTCATGTCTACCAATGTTATGCTCAGCAGAACAGAACAAGAGGGAGTACCAGGGAGAGGAGCACAGTACAGTGTGATTGGTTGGCTGTAGCACACAAGCTCTAATCTGTGGTCTACTTGCAAGCCCACTGTGTGACAAAAAGGAAGAAACATAATGTTTCATTTATTTTGTGTGTTCTACATGTGACAAAGTATATTCGTGTGAAAATGAATGTGTTGCCTTTGATGACATATTTGGACAAACAAACTCTTTGAAAAAGTAAATGGTCTTATTCTTATAGAGTGCTTTTCTACTATCCCAGAGTACTCAAAGCACTCTATACAACATGCCACATTCACTTTCTCTATACTTGGTCCTTTCTAACTACATTCACACCCTGATGGATGTATCAGAGAGCAACTTGGGGTTAGTATCTTGCCCAAGGATACTTGACATGCAGACTGGAGGAGCCAGGGATCGAACCACCAACCTTCCGATAAGTAGGTGACCTGCTCTACCTCCTGAGCTGCAGCCACCCCATAAAAGGTAGCTACAGACAAAACGTGATCTGTGGTAATGTGTTAGGAATGAAACAAACATTTTTAATTGGATTTAAAATGATCAATCCACAGAGGACTGAATTCAAAGAAAATCAGAAAATGATGTAGCAGGATAGTCCATTTTACCAAACTTTCATTTTACCAAACTTTCAGCAACTCAAAATGCTACTCAGTAGTGTGTTTGTGTGCACGCCTGACACCTGACAGCGGCGTTCTACTGTATTAGGTCAGGTGCGTGTGGCCTACGTTCAGTGGTATCAGTTCATTCATCCTCCAGGAAATCGGAAATCTTGCATCCTCTTACTCTTTGCAAGAAGAATCAAATTCTTGTCATCCTGATGGGTTAAAGGCCTCTCCAGCTGTCCCAGAGTAACTGGTATAATATCTATTTTTCTTTCAGTTTGGTGATTATGGCTTGTAGCTCATGGAAATCAGACATCCAGCATCCAACTTATTATAAAACATCCCAGGAGCAATCAGAAAGTATTCACAATATAGAAGTGTGTTCTGAGAAGTATGTTCATTTATACTCTGAGGCCTCATCCTCCAGTCTTGCCCACCAGGTGGACTGACTGCCTGCAGTGGATTGGGAAGCAGCCAGAAGCAGAAGGTCCTGGAGGTCCTAACCTCCTGAGTATAGAATACTTTAAGCTGGAAAAATATGATTCAAATAAAATACAGTAGATTTGTCCTTTGCTTGATTGATGTCAAACATGAAAGCTGTTTCTTTTTTTATATATATTTTTAAATTTCAGTTATTGTGATGTGTTGTCCCATACAAGCAACGCCTACCCCCACACAGACACACTGGTTGGGATCACACGTCTCTACACTGTACACTGAGCTGTGCAGCCACTTTATGCTTTCTTTCATGCTCCCCCCCTCCACCATAATTGAAAACAGTTTTCCACACGCTCTCATCCACTGTGAGCTCTCTGTCAGTGCTAGTCGGATGTGCAGTTTTTCACGTCCCGGTCCATCTTTGCTGATCTCATGGTAAAGGTGGGCGTCAGTGGGCGGTACCGCTGTTGAGGCCGGCTCATTTTTGCATTGGAGGGAGTGAAAGTTAGAGAGCTGCAGCAGCAGCGGCAGAAGAAGAAAAACAGCTGACTTCAGACTTTGTTTTTACGCACCGTGCTGTTGCTGCAACTTCAGGAGGGACGGTCTTCAACGGAGAGAAGAAAAGTAAGTTCAGCCAGAGCTTGCAGCTCACTTCAAGAATGTAACTAGCCATTGTTACTGAGACAGGAAGCTTGCCTTGAAAGTTTTCTTTACGCCCTAAATTCAGCAAATTAAGAGTCGTTTTCGAGGTCTCAAAGTGCTGAAATATTATTACTGAAGCCATTACTATTGTGTGACTTTGAGCATCACATTGGAACTTTATGTAATATAGGTAAAAAAAGTGAGTTAGTTTTCCGGAATTCAAGTTGTCACCACAGCCTCTAAAAACTTTACAAGACTCCTTCCTGGTGATGAAGATGCATCTGAAATTGGAGTGAACATATGTGTCGTACATGTTACTTTGAAGAAAAATTCATGCTAAAAATCCACTGCTGAGTTCCAGAGTGTCTACTTGCAGGGAAGCACTCTCCTCAGCGGTTTAGCAAAGAGCATGAGAAGACTGGCTGACATTCTTATAAACTGACATTTTGACCTTTGCAGCCAATGCACAGCTCTCCTCTAACAGCAGACTAGACTCATACACCTATCTGCAGAAGAGGATAAAAAAAAAGGTTTCAGATATCAGGGTGTCCACTTCACTGAAGTTCTTGACATTTTGTTTTAACAAAAGCGAGCAAGAAAATTTCGGATCTATTGGTCCGTTTGATTAGAAGCCGCAGAGTGCCTGCAGCTTCACTCAGAAATAAACAAATGATCAGCTGGGGGGGGAGCCTGCTGTGTTCTTATGTGTCTCGCCTTACCTGAACTTTACCGTGTCCGTGCACACTGACCACGATTTTTTTTGTCATCACAGCGGTTTAGACTCACACATTGAAAGCAGACGCCAAGTCTGTGGGCTTCATTCCATCTGTTCATGTGTGATGTGTGTTGATTCTAGCTTGTGTAACTGCTGCCACGTTACAGTGAGGAGAGTTGAAGGCCTGCACAGTTGATGGATCATATGTTTTCTAACAGATGTTTTTTCCAACAAAAGGACAGGATTTTCCCTGGAGGCCAGCTTTTCTTCACTCACAGAAAACTAGTGGGCGATCACGAGAAATGTTTTACTCAATATAAGTCCAGTAAGTCAGATAGAAATAAAATAAGTCAGTTTTAGTCACTTATTTTTTTTAAACGTTTTAATGCAGATGTCATTATGATTGAGAAAAAATAAAGTCAACATACAGTACCATGAGCTTATAACGTGCGGACATGCACTTTTTTTCCTTTTCCTTTTTTCCTTTTCTTAAACTGCCAACAGAGCTGAACCAACACTAGATTGTATTTTGAGATAAGTCCGGTATTTGCGCACCTTTTAGCTCTGTATTTAGTCTCCACCGCCTCGTGAACTAAATATTTTACTTCTGCTAACGGGCCTGATGAAATCTATGAGAGTATAATCAAACAGTAAATCTCTTAACAGAAACAAGAGTGGAAATCTGTTTAAAGGCTTCACGGTACTGAAGAGAAGTGCAGAGTTTTGTGATTATTCTTTTTGGGGTTGTCATAATGAGAGACCCCTTTAACGTCACACAGCTATTTAATCTACTTTCAGCATAAAAATATTGAAGTGCGGGTTTAGGGAGGCTGTTTGAAGAGGCAGGTCTGTGATTAACAGCCTGACATTTAGTCCCTAGTAGTCCCTAATTCCCATAATGCAGTGCAGCATCATTGTTTGTTAGTTGGTTCACAAAAGGTTTCTCTGTGGACCTTTGTGGTTCTCAGACTGTAAAAGGATTACAAATATCATTGCAATTTTTTCTTCTCTTTTTGGCTTTTCATTAGCTCCAACCAAAATGCGGGTCATCCAGAACCTATATGCTCGCACTGCTGTTCTATTGGTGCTATTAAAGCTGTCAGTTGCACAGTATGAGCACCTCGGCTACCCCCCAGGCTACCCATACCCAGAACAGGAAGAGTACACGGCCCCGCAGCTGGATCCAGACACGCCCAGGATTCAGCTCCGACTTGCAGGGCAAAAGAGGAAACACAATGAGGGCCGAGTAGAGGTTTTCTACAACAACCAGTGGGGCACCGTCTGTGATGATGACTTCAACATCCATGCTGCCCAGGTGGTGTGCAGGGAGCTGGGCTACGTGGAAGCTGTCTCATGGTTGCCATCTTCTAAATATGGGAAAGGAGAAGGTACTGCAGGACTTTTCTTCTCATCAGCGTGGAAACATATTTAACATATATTCACCATATATAACATATTTAACATATATTCACAATATAGATGGCATGTCTGGATGAACATGTTATTGATATAACCTTGTTGGCATTATTTTTTCAGTTATGTACTACTATAGTACTTAAAGACAAATATTAAAAAATATTTGTTATTTGAAAATAAAATTCCTTCCCACAGAAGCAAGGATTAATATCTATTTTGTCTCATCAGGACCCATCTGGTTCGACAATGTCCACTGTACTGGCAAAGAAAAGACTTTGGCACAGTGTCAGTCCAACGGGATCGGCATTTCAGACTGCAAGCACAGCGAAGATGTAGGAGTGGTGTGCAGCGACAAGAGGATCCCGGGATTTAAATTTCTCAACACTCTGCCCAACCATGTGGAGGTAAACTTACAAGGCCCAATAGTTCTATCCAACTTTTGTATTTCATGTGTTTGTTAGCTAGGATCTGCTGTGTTTGTTGTTATCTTGTGATGAACACCATTTAAGCCTTAGAAGCCTTTTTAAAGTGTACAAAAAATACTGGATCCAACATTTGTTCTTGTCCAAACAAATAGGTCAACCTCAATCTGAGATCCTGTGTTATTTCACAGCTTTACCAATTAATAAAGCTCTTCCATAATAGAATAGCACTAGCAGTATAACATATGGAGCTGCTGTACGTCAAACTCACCTCTAAAAAAATTAATTTGGTTGAAAAACAGCTGCTGTGGACTAAAAGCCAGCAGCTCTCAACCACTATCTGTCCTATTAATAGTCCTTTCTGAATAGCCTGCATTGAAAGCGCGTTGGGGAAAGTTCACTGGTATTTGTTAGGTGTCAGACTTAAAACTTTCATAGCAGTTTGACTGGAACCTTTAAAAGCCCAGCTGAGCATTGCTTTTGGGCCTGCTAATGGGCTCAGAGCTAATTGCCTCCACAAGCAGAATGTTATCTTTCTGCTCACCGTGCAGGCCTCATAACAGTGCATTCCACTGTTATGAGCAAACTGCAAACCAGAACTAACTCTGCTTCTGTCTTACTGACCTGTTCAGTCGAGTTTTCCTTGTTTCTTTCCAAAAACAAATAGAAGGATTTAGTGTTGTTGATAAAAAAAAAATACTTTCTGAGTCTGTGATCTTGTCCTTCTGACTACAGACTTTGTTAAAGTTACTATGACTGTTGTTATGTCAAACAGAGGTGTGGCAATGTTTTTTGGCAAATTACACTCACCAGCCCCTTTATTACATTATTAGATACACCTGTTAAATTGTTGTTAATGCTGATGTCTAATAGGCCAATCACATGGCAGCAACTCAATGTATTTAGGCATGTAGACATGGTCAGGGCAAACTTCTGAAGTTCAAACTGAGCAGCAAAGTAAGGAAAAAAGGTGATTTAATGGACTCTGAACGTGGCATGTCTAAGTATTCCAGAAGTTGCTGATCTACTGGGAATTTTCCACACGACCAGAGAGCCCCAAAATATCCAGAGAAAATATCCAGTGAATGGCAGTGAAAATGCCTTGTTAATGTAAGGTTAGACGCCTGACTGCTTCAAGCTGATAAGAAGTCAACACTGACTCCAATAACTAGTCATTACAATCGTGGTATGCAGAAGAGCATCTCTGAATGCACATGTGCTATAGCAACGGAAATCACTGGCACACTTTGGATTCCTTAGTACCAACAAAGCATCATTTAAACACCACAGCCTACCTGAGTATTGTTGGTGACCACGTCCATTCCTTTATGACTACAGTGTACCCTCTTCTGAAGGCTACTTCCACCATGATAATGCACCATGTCGTGAAGCTCAAATCCTCTCAAGCATGCTTCTTGAAAATGACAATGGGTCCATTGTTCTCAAATGGCCACAGGCACCAAATACCAAATGTCAATCCAGTAGAGCACCTTTGGGATTTGGTAGAACTCAAGATTTATATCATGGATGTGTGGCCGTTAAATCTGCAACTGTGTGATAGTATCATGTTAATATGGGCCAAAAAGTCTCTTTTATCTAGTGGTATTTGTGGAACGAGCTTTCAATACTGTGAACGACCACTGGAAAAAAAAATAAGCAACAAAGCTTTAGGCAGAAGAATATTCAGCTTTCTTCAGGCTTCAGAGATCTGCTGAGCTTACTTGAACTCCACAACACATTTTTTTCAGACCTCAAATAACTTTGTGTCTTTTCAAATTCTGCTCCAGCGGATTCTGACTTAATTGCAATAGCTTTAGAACTTTTATCAGACTTTACATAGCTCCCTCTAGAGGCAGAAAATGTTTTTTTAATCACATATGTGATCATGCTCACTGTAAAAACACTTTAATTTGTAAAGTTGCATTACAGGATCAGATCCATCTAAACGACTGCCTTAAGTTTACAAGACTAAATATCAAGGTTGTGATTGTTCAGAGAGCCCAGCTGTAGAGCTCTACATGTCTCAAGTCACATTAAAAAAAAAAAAAAAAAACAGACTCAGCTTTTCCACTCACTAAGAGGTATGGGCTCAAAATGTTGTCATAAATATTTTGTACTTGTAAAAAGATTTGTATGTGTAAAAGAATTTGTGTGTGCGTAAAAAAAGATTTGTGTGTGCGTAAAAAAGATTTGTGTGTGCGTAAAAAAGATTTGTGTGTGCGTAAAAAAGATTTGTATGTGTAAAAAAGATTTGTATGTGTAAAAAAGATTTGTATGTGTAAAAAGAATTTGTGTGTGCGTAAAAAGATTTGTGTGTGCGTAAAAAAGATTTGTATGTGTAAAAAAAAAAAACCTGCAAGTTACAAGTACGGATTTTTGACCCTATTTTTCTTCCCTTCATCTGATTGGTCAATGTCATGTCAATCACAAATGTAACAATCCAATCAGAGAACAGATGGGTTTGGCTGTCGAGGGGCGCTTTTTTTGAACTGCAGGTCTTTGAAGGGAATAAATGCCCTTTTACATGCTAACCCAGCGTTTTCCTTCATCACCACGAAGGAAAACAGTCTGTGGTCGTCCGAGTTTGGTGATTTTTATGTCACAGGTCTATGTGTTTAATACAGGGACTTCCACAGCCTTTTCAACAGCGCTGCGGACTGCGGGGTGGGGGCAGGCAGTGTTTTGGAAAGGACAGTCTTCATTACAAAGCTTTCTTCGTTATGAATTAGCATACATGTTTTTATTGAACATTTGAAGAACTAGCAAAAAAACAAACTCTTGTAGAGGACATAAAGTCAGAGATAGAAAAGACAAGGAGCAGGTGCATCTAGTACAGAGCTGCTGCAAAAACCCATAGAGCCCAGCAGCCAGCGTAACAAATTCTGGATCCTTTGCTTTTAGTTAGCAGTTAGCATTAGCAGCGTATCCTGCATCCGATGTGAAAGGACTTTTATGCTGCGCACTGTGACTCACAGCAATGGTCCTGGGTCAGCCCTGACTTTGTGTTAAACTAATCCTAAAGTAATAATGTTATTTCTAACCACTGATATACCACAACTTTTTCCTTTCAACAGCTACTGAAAGTTAGGGGACCTAGCTGCTATCGGATATTTATATAGCGATCCTCCAGCTTCAAACGGTATCACCCTTCAAGGACCTGCAGTTCAAAAAAGCGCCCCTCCGACAGCCAAACCCATCTGTTCTCTGATTGGATTGTTATATTTGTGATTGACATGACATTAACCAATCAGATGAAGGGTAGAAAAATAGGGTCAAAAATCCATACTTGTAACTTGCAGGTTTTTTTTTTTCTAATTCCACACACAAATCTTTTTTACACATACAAATCTTTTTGACGCACACACAAATCTTTTTGACACACACACAAATCTTTTTTACACATACAAATCTTTTTTACGCACACACAAATCTTTTTTACGCACACACAAATCTTTTTACGCACACACAAATCTTTTTTACGCACACACAAATTCTTTTTACACATACAAATCTTTTTTACACATACAAATATTTTTTACGCACACACAAATCTTTTTACACATACAAATCTTTTTTACAAGTACAAAATATTTATGACCACATTTTGAGCCCATAAAGAGGAATCACATGGGCCTCAGCGTGTAAAACACAGCCAGCTGGGAGCCCCACTCTGCCACACAGCCAGGGCCCAGCTTTATTATCTGGTGACGCACCAGTGTAGGGGCATTCTAGTGTTGAATGGCAGCTATGACAGCATGTCGCTGGGGATGTGGGGATGTGGGCTGGATGTAGGAGCACAGCTGCCTTTTCGAGTGATAGTAAGTTTATTGCAATGTCTTTAACCGTGTATACCAAGATAGCAAGCTACGTCAGTGGCATTACGTCAGGGCAAGCAAAGCAAGCAGTACTTGTCTAGTGAAATCTAAAAATAGATATCAATTAAAACCTACTAAAGTAAAGTGTTCTTTCTTGTTTTATCTCAAACAGAGCTCTCTCATAAAGCTTTCCTGCTTGCATCCATCCTTTACATCACTGCCATCTTGTGGCTGCAGTTGCCTATTGTCTCTGGAAGCAGAATTAATTTAGCTTTATAATGAAATCCATATGGGGTAAACACTGTCATGGGTGTGTCCATTTCCAATTAATAATGTCTGAAGCTTGTCAAGCAGAGCAATCGGTTGTTTGGGGAAGCACACTGCAGATAAACCTCTGATCTTTGATGGGAGACTAGCGTGCTAGACAAGCTGCTGCTGGCCCCACTTTTACTCTACTGATATCAGTTATGAGCTGCACCTAGTATGAAAACAGAGCTAGCTTTATTTAGAAAGTAAACAAGCTGTCTCATTTATCACTATAAGAGTGCTTTCTCTTGCTTTTAATAACTGTTAATAACTTGTTTAGCATGCTAGCAATGAAAGCTTTAATGATGGGGAGATGGAACCCTGCCGTGTCTTTTTTTATTTTAATAAAACAGATAATTTGACTAAGTACAGGCTCCACTAACACTTTCAGATTAACGTCTTGGTTAATCAGTTCGGTTGACCAATGTACAAAGTTTAAGGAGCTGCTTTGCTAATACAAGCTTAAAAATATGTTTATTAAGCATTTTAAATAACGATATAGGACTTCTGGAGCAGATTAAAAGCTGGTCTGGTCCTCAGCCACTAGAAACCCATAATTTTATAGAATATGATACTTTATTGTAGATTAAACAGAATATAAAGTGTTTAAAACCAGTTCAAACTGAAACCTCCTCAATCGATATAAGGGTGACAGGGCGGGACATTTTAATCTGGTCCATTTTGTGTTATTTAAAACTAAAGGAAAATTTATTTACATTTAATTTAATTTTACTTAATTTTTATTTGTTTATTTGTTTATTTTATGGAGCTCTGGGAGGGCCATAGACTCTGCCTACCTTTCTGTAAAAGTTACCACATGCCATTAAGCAAACGTGGAGATGAAATGTGAATCCTTGCATG